AAGTGTCCGGTCATCTGGTGACTGGTCTACTCTTCAACCAATCAAAGTGTAATATGCTAACGATATGCTAAGGCCACTCAACTGCTCACTATGATGTGCACTGACCACCAGGGGGCAGACAGTTGACTGGTTGACCAGTCGCTATGACGTGCACTTACCACCAGGGGGCAGGCACTTTGACCGGTAGGTTAGCTTTTTGCAGGGGTCTGGCCGATCGGGACTGGGCAAGACAGGGCCAGACAGGACCTGGAGCCCTCCTGTGACTCCAATCATGCACCACTGGAGTCCCTCAGCCTGGCCTGCGCCCTCTTACAATCTGGGACCCCTTGGGGGATGTTGGAGAGCTGCTTTTGGCCCAATCCCACAGGCCACTCCCCTCAGGAGGGTGCTAGGATTGGGACTGATTGGGCGTGAGCCCACAGCAGGCACAGTGGAGCCAGGATGAATGGGAGTGGCAGGGAGGAGCTGCAGGCAGCGGTGGGCTGTGGGTTTCGGCCTGATCCCTGCAGGCCACCCTGAGGGACTCCACCTGTGCACGGATTTGTGCACGGGGCCTCTAGTTGGTTAATACAATCATATAGGTTTCAGATGTACAATGCTATAATACATTATTTATATATTGTATTGTGTGTTCACCACCTCAATTCAAGTCTCCTTCCATCACCATTTATGCCCCCTCTGCCCTCTTTTACCTCCCTACACCTCCCTTCCCCTCTGGTAATCACCATACTGTTGTCTGTGTCTATGAGTTGTTGTTTTTTCTTTTTTGCTTAATCCCTTTACCATTTTTACCCAGCCCCCCAAACCCTTCCCCTCTGACAGCTGTTATTCTGTTCTTTGTGTCTGTTTATATTTTTAAAACTTATTTTGTTCATTAGATTCAATATGTAAGTGAAATCATATGGTATTTGTCTTTCTCTGACTGGGTCATTTTGCTTAGTGTGATACCCTTCAGGTCCATTGATGCTGTCTCAAAAGGTAAGATTTTCTTTTTCACAGTCGAATAATATTTCACTCTGGAAATGTACCACAGCTATTTAATCACTCGTCTACTGGTGGGCACTTGGGCTACTTCCAAATCTTATCTCTTGTGAATAATGCTGCAGTGAACATAGGGGTGCATATATTCCTTCAAATTAGTGTTTCAGGTTGCTTCAGATAAGTTCCCAGAAGTGGAATCACTGGGTCATAAGGCAGTTCCATTTTGAATTTTTTTTACACAATAACTGCATCAATCTACATCCCCACCATCAGTGCACAAGGTTCCCTTTTTTCCATGTCAACATTTGTTTGTTGATTTATTGATGATAACCACTCTGACAGGTGTGAAGTGATATCTCATTGTGCTTTTAATTTGCATTTCTCTAATGATTAGTAACACTTAGCATCTTTTCATATGTGAATCTGCCATCTGTATATCCTCTTTGGAGAAGTGTTTTTTTAGGTCCTTTGCACATTTTTTAATTGGATTGTTTATTTTTTGGGGTTTTGAGTTTTATAAGTTCTTTATAAATTTTGGATATTAAACCCTTATCAGTTGTATCATTGGTAAATACGTTCTCCCATTCAATGGGTTGTCTTTTTATTTTGTTGATGGTTTCTTTCACTGTGCATAAGCTTTTTATTTTAATGTAGTCCCATTTGTGTTTTTTTCCCCCTGAATTTTCCTTGCCCAAAGAGATTTATCAGAAACAATATATTGCTATGAGAAATGTCTGAGATTTTACTGCCTATCTTTTCTTCCAGGATTTTTATGGCTTTGAGTCTAAAATATAAGTCTTGAATCAATTTTGAGTTTATTCTTGTGCATGGTGTAAGAAGGTGGTCTAATTTTATTTTATTTTTTGCACATATCTGTCCAACTTTCCCAACAGCATTTATTGATTAGACTATTTTTTCCCCATTGCATGTTCTTGCCTACTTGTCAAATATTAATTGACCATAAAGACATGGGTTTATTTCTGGGCTCTATATTCTGTTCCATTGACCTATATATCTGTTTTTATGTCAGTACCATGCTGTTTTGATTGCTATGGCATTGTAGTATAATTTGATATCAAGTAGTGTTATTCCTCTAACTTTGTTCTTCTTTCTCAAGCTTATTGTGGCTATTTGGGCTGTTTTGTGGTGCCATGTACATTTTGGAATATTTGTTTTAGTTCTGTGAAAAATGTCACTGGTATCTTGATAGGAATTGTGTTGAATCTATAGATTGCTTTGGGTACTATGGATATGTTAATTATGTTAAATTCTCCCAATCCATGAATCACAGCATATGCTTCCACTTATTTGCTTCTTCTTAAGTTTCTTTCTTCTGTGTCTTAGAATTTTCCAAGTACAGGTCTTTTATATACTTGGTTAAATTAATTCCTAGGTATTTTATTATTGTTAAAAATTTAAAACAAATTTTAAATCTTTATTGTTGAAAGTATTACATGTGTCCCCATTTTTCCCCCATTGACCCCTTCTAACCTGCCCCTGCTCCCTTCCCCAGGCCTTCACCACTCTATTGTCTGTGTCCATGGGTTATGTTTATTATTATTTTTTGATGCAATTGTAAATGAAATTATTTAGTTTACCTTTCTGATGTTCATTATTGGTGTATAAAAATGCAACTGATTTCGTAGTATTTTGTATCCTGCTATTTTATTGAATTTATTTATTAGTTCTAGTAGTATTTTGGTAGCATCTTTAGGTTTCTCTATAAACCGTATCAAGACATCTATAAATAATGACAGTTTTATTTCTTTCCTTCCATTTTGGATGCCTTTTATTTCTTCTCTGATTTCTGTGGCTAGGACTTCTAGTACCATGTTGAACAAGAGTGGTGAAAGTGGAGATCCATATATTTTTCCTGATCTTAAGGGAAACACTTGTAGTTTTTGCCCATTGAGTATGATAGTAGCTGTGGTTTGTCATATATGGCCTTTATTATGTTGTGGTATGTTCCCTCTATTCCCAATTTGCTGAGTTTATATCATGAATGGGTGCTGGGTTTTATCAAATGCTTTTTGTGCATCCATTGATATGATCATGTGGTTTTTATCCTTCATTTTATTTATGAGGTGCATCACATTATTGATTTGTGGATATTGTACCCACTTTGCATCCCAGAATAAATTCAACTTAGTCATGGTGTATCATCTTTTTAATGTATTGCTGGATCTGGTTTGATAATATTTTGTTCATGATTTTAGCATGTATATTAGTCAGGGATATTTACCTATAATTTTATTTCTTTGTAGTATATATTTTTAAAAAAATAGATTTTTATTGACTTCAGAGAGGAAGAAGAGGGAGAGTGAGATAGATACATCAACGATGAGAGAGAATCATTTGATTAGCTGCCTCCTACACACCCCACACTGGGGATCGAGCCCACAACCCGGGCATGTGCCTTGACCAGGAGTGGAACTTTGACTTCCTGAATCATAGGTTGACGCTCAACCACTGAGCAACACTGCAGCCAAGCTTCTTTGTGATATTTTTATCTGGTTTGGGAAATAGGATACTAAAATTAGCTTGGGAGTCTTCATTCCTCTTAAACTTTTTGGAATAGTTTGGGAAGGATAGGTGTTAGTTCTTTGAATGTTTGATAAAAGTCACCTGTGATTTCATCCAGTTTGGGACTTTTATTTGTTGGGAGTTTTTTGAATACTGCTTCAATTTCATTAGTTTTAATCAGACTGTTCAGATTTTCTGATTCTTCCTGATTCAGTTTTGGAAGATTGCACGTTTTTAGGAATTTATCCAGATTGTCCAATTTGTTAGTATATTGTTGCTCATAACATTTTCTTACAGTCCTTTGTATTTCTTTGGCATCAGTTGTTACTTCTTTTTTTTTCATTTCTGAAATTTATTTATTTTTATTTATTGATGAGTCTGGTGAAAGGTTTGTCAATCCTGCTTATTTTTTCAAAGAATCAACTCTTGGTTTTATTGATCTTTTATATATATTTTTTTAAGACTATTTTTATTTCGGCTCTGATATATTTTTTTTTCTTCTACTCGCCTTGGGCTTTGTTTGTTGTTCTTTTTTTAGTTCCTTTAAGTATAAAGTTAGATTGTTTATTTGATTTTTCTTGTTTGTTGAGTAGGCTTGTAAAGCTATGAATTTCCCTCGTAGTACTGCTTTTGCTGTGTGTTTTGTGTGTTCATTTTCATTTGTTGCAAGGTATCTTTTTTTAATATATTTTATTGATTTTTTACAGAGAGGAAGGGAGAGGGATAGAGGGTTAGAAACATCGATGAGAGAGAAACATCGACCAGCTGCCTCTTGCACACTCCCTATTGGGGATGTGCCCGCAACCAAGGTACATGCCCTTGACTGGAATCAAACCTGGGACCCTTCAGTCCGCAGGCGGACGCTCTATCCACTGAGCCAAACTGGTTAGGGCTCAAGGTATTTTTTGTTTTCTTCCTTGATCTCGTTGTTAACACGTGCATTGTTTAGTAATGTTATTTAGAGTCCATGTATTTGTGTTTTTCAGTTTTTGAGCTCTACTGCTTACTACTTCACTAACTACTTTGAACATTTTTAGGTTTCTGAGAATTTTATGTTCTTTCTCCTCCAGGAATTTGCCTGTATTAAGCCTTCAGTTTTGCCTGGATAATTTCTGCTGTCATTCTACTTCTCTCTGTGAAATTTTCCCTGATCTTCCATGCTTGGTTTTGTTACCTTACCTAAGTGTTTCCTACGAAAGCCTTCTTTTTTGGCCCTTTTAATGGAATTTATTTGTCTGTTATTAACTCTCTGCTTAGATAATTCATTCACCATTAATCAGTTAGTTCCTTAAAACTCAGTAATAAGTTAAATGATGTCCCTCTTTCAAATATATGTTCATGTACTAATACCTTGAACTTGTGAATGTTACCTTATTTGGAAAAATGTTCTTTGCAGATGTAATTAATTTAAGAATCTTGAAATGCAGAGATCATTTTGGATTATCCTGGGTGGGCTTAAATCAATTAGAGATATACAAGGGATATTTGATGGACAGAAGGGAAGACTACACAGACAGAAGAGGGAGATGCAGTGTGAAGATGGAGGCAGAGATTGGAATGATGTGGCCACAAGCCAAGGAAGCCAAAGAATGCTAACAGTCACCAGAATTTGGAAGAGTCAAGGAAGTATTCTTTCCAAGAGCTTCCAGAGGTAGTGCAGCCCTGCCAATACCTTGATTTTGGAATTCTAGCCTTCATTTCTGTTTTAAGCTACCTAGTTTGTAGTAATTTTTTATGGCAGCTGCAGGAAGTTAATACACTTAAGAATTTCCTATGTTTGCACACTTTTTTATTCCAGTGTCTAGCATTAACTGATCACAAATTAGATACTCAATAAATATTTTGAAAGAATGAGAAGTGATAATATGATTTGTTATATGTATGTA